GCTGTATATTTCATGGGTTTTATTACGAGCGCATTGAGTGATGTGCCGCTGTTATGCTTATTTCAGATAATTAGAATTCTAGCTATAAATCAAACATGTTATGGCGTGGTTGATTAGCCACTAAGCCTCATTTGATTTTTCATCTGAATGTAAGTAAGTACTTTATAATTTCGCAGATTTGCATGTATCAATAGGTTAAAAATCGATTATGGCGTCGAGGACATGGTGGCTCAATTGGTTAGCAGCAGCAGCACTCAACGTCGTGGATGCCAATTCAAGTCCCGCCCGTGTCATAATTTTTTTCCAAGCTAAATAGATTCAATCAAATTTAATTGAGTAATTAAATGTCACACGTTTGATTTCTTGCTATTTTTGTAATTGTTGTTTTAGCGAATATTTAGTTATAGAAGATACAACTTAGGTACGGAAAACTAAAGTTCTCTCTTTTAAGGTTATGTAGCTCCTAAACGTTAAAGATTTTACTGTACTTAAACAGAGATAGTATGGATATATACCAATAGTAATATAATTCAAGAGAAATATTAAGGCATTAAAGATATAATTTTAATGTCAAACACGGAAGACATGCGTAAAATTGGGCGATCAGCGGCGGTACAAAAAATTCCGATCCATAATAAGCGAATAATTCGTACATTTTTTATTTAATAACCAGTTTGATTTATTCCGTTTGCGCACGCGACAGATCCTTGTAAAGATTATTGAGGAAAATATTCTTAATGAGCTTATACCATCTGCTTTACTTTTTCGGCAAGGTGCACTACGATCTCGCCAGTGTTTAATATGTCCATTTAAGAAGTTCACTTTGAATACGGCATTTAATATTGATATAATGATTTATCTGTGTTTTAATTTGCATATTTCGATGTTAATTTTATAGTCAGATTGAGGTACTGTCCTGTATTCAAAACGCTTTACCGGTATAAATGGTATTGTTTGAGTAAATAAGTTTACTTAGTAATTATTTTACATTATTTATTAATAACGAAACATTAACATAAATATAACATTCTAATAAAGATATCATATTAAATTACGTACGTACAACAGCATTGTCAAATGAATTTAAATGGATGAATAGAGAAATAGAATCTAATAAAACATACAATGGAATCAAAGCATGGATTCTCAGAAACTCCAGTTTCCCGTGTGACAGTATTAGGTGGAAATCTAAATAATAATAAAACACTTTACTGCACGAAAAAATAAATCTTTTCAGATTAGAATAAAATTTTAGGACGCTGTATGGGATTTTTTTAAAGTCTTAATAACATTTCATGATCTTTCCTTTCACTTCGAATAACACTTCTATGTTACATTTATATTATTACTATGTTTACGAAAACGATTGTATTATGCTATATTTATTTATATATATCTTATGTTCTGTTGTTATATTAAATATATTTGGAGCGTCGTCTTATTATTTAAAATGAACTTGACATAAGCACTAATGCAATTACTTAATCCGGTTTTTTCGCAATATTTGTCACCAAAAACGAGAACACAAAGATTGTAGGTCGTTGACTGGCGCTAACAGATTCTTAAACATCGTTTTTTCCGAATAATAAAGTACCATCAGTTATATTAGTCAATTTTCTTCCTATAATAATATATAACGATAATCAGCAATTAAAACATCATTAGATTCGAGAAGAACAAATGTTCACGGTCACTTGAAAACAAATTTTAACATTTAAATCAAACAAAAAACAAAACGACGAGACCATTGTGACCACGGTTGCTGATATAAATTGTAAATAACTTAATTAATAATTTCGTACTATGCATTGTATGAAAAAAGCTCGGAATAACTTGATGACATTTCGCCCAACCGGGACTCGAACGCGGGACCGCGTGATATGCAGCCGAAAGCACCAACTAATAGAACAGCGAGGCGAGAGTCATCTACGGATTATAATAATTAAATTTCACATTTGAATGTTTGCAATTATTTTATGCACTGAGAATTTGTCTACAATATTTGTCGGAACTTTAAAATACTGTAATCGAATCATCATCACCGATATAAATGAAACCGTTAAATTGTGTTTAATAAAAACTGCTTAGTTATTTTAGATACTGTATTTATAAACATACACTTGCATATGAAAAAATATTGATAGGCAGATGTAATAGTTAACGTTTTATGTCACACATTGACAGACGTTAACTTAATAAATAGCCTTGACACATGTTAGGTATGATAAAAATAGAATGCGCTATCGGCCTATTATGCGTTTCCAATAACATTATGTGTGTTGTAAGCTTAGAATTACATATATGATGTTATAATAATAAGTCAACACAATTTTCTTACACTATATATTTTTTTAAATAAAACACGCGGAGACAACCTGTTGTGGTCATGGGGCTGCAAAGCATCCGAAACGTCGGGCCGAAGTTAAATTATTTTTAAATAAGTTCAACGAATATATCGCGTTTTAAACCGTTAAAGTGTTTTATTAAAATGTGTACTACTCGTGTAAACCATTAGACATCATCTATACTTTATTGTACACTATATATACAGACAAGCATTGGGCTCGCTTGATGGCAGGTGATGTTATACAAGTAAACAAGAAGCGCTGTTGAGCTATCTTGGCTTTGAATATTAGGAGATCCACATACTGACACCGAAGCGCGATTAAGCTTGTCGGCTTTTTCACCTGTGGACGCTGGTTCTTGACCTGGACGGAATTTCGATATTCCGACCTATTAAATATTCCGATTTCGAGACACACGATTATTAGACACTAATATTCGAATTACTAATGATTGTTTGATTACGCGAAAACGAATAGAGCGAACTTAAAAGTAATTATGTAATCGGCACTATAAATTAAAAATCTACACTAATATATAAAGCTGAAGAGTTTGTTTGTTTGTTTGAACGCGCTAATCTTAGGAACTAGGGATTCGAAATGAAAAATTATTTTTGTGTTGGTTAGGTTAGCATTCATCGAAAAAGGTTAGGTATAGGCTAAGACATCGTCGTGTGACTAATAGGAGCGTAGATACAACGGAAATGTGAAAAAAATTGGGAAAATTTTTCATCATTATGGATTTCCGGGGCGTACGCTGCGAAAACGGTTTAAGATACCCAATCAAATATGTATGAAAGAATGATTCCTCTTTAAATGATCTAAAAAAAGTCCGTGACGCTAAATGTCTATCTTTTAAGATAACCCTGTAAGATCGATGGGAAGACAACTTAATTTTATAAAGATGAAGTGGTTTGCAAAAACGAATTTTGATGCCCTTAGCGGACGAAAATACAAAATCAAATTAAAAATTGAAAAAAAATACTACTCAGTTTAGAGGAACAGCACGGTTGCCGGTTCAAGTCCGAGTCGTAATTTTTTTCAATCTTTAAATCATTTTTAATTTTGTATTTTCGATTTTATATATAAAAAAAACAGCTATAGACGTTTACAACAGCACGTTGTTCTGTATATCTTCATAATAATAATACTCATCGAGAACCAGTTTCCGGGAGATTGAAGTCAGCTATCACCCATAGAGATCTCTCGATGTCAAGATTTGTTAGCAACGAAGCGAATGTGAAAGATCGTTTATACTGGCTGGACCTACTTTAGTAATTAAATCGATTATTTTTACAGTATTAGTCGAGATCATGACACTGTATTAAATTTAACAACTGGTTTATAAAAAGCGTAAAATTTATGGAGACTTTCCCGATGTGTGTCTTTTTAAAGAAATTATGATTTTTTTCTACTGAAAATTTTCTAATGAATTGTGTGTGTGAAATCCCGTTTCCCCCTCGTGGGGCATGGGGCGAATACATTTCTGTGTCCGTTTCACTGATCCGTTATTTCCGGTAGTTGATCCGACTTCTGTGCCCTGCCCGAATGAAACAATTGATTGTTTCGATTTGATTCGAACCTAGGACCTCTCGCGCTTAACGCAATGATAGGCAGTTTTAATTTGACTACAGAGGCGGCTTTTAGGGTTCTTTAATAAATCATTAATAAAAACTTATCAAGCTAATGATATTTAAAATTTTAACTGCTAAATGTTTAAAACATCTCTAGATTTATCTTTAAAACTGAAGAGTTTGTTTGAACGCGCTAGTCTGTTCCTGAGACTCTACTGGTTCGAATTGAAAAATTCGTTTAGTGTTGGTTAGACCATTTATCGAGGAAGACCATAGGGTATAAAATATAGCAACTAATAAGAGCGTAGAAACTTATGTTTTACTGCGATGATATAGAGACTGTACGATCAGTATATTTCCTTGTCATAGTTTAAGCTGCTTCAAACGGGTCACCTTAACGATGCCATCAATTCCTCAGAAGCAAGCAGATAGGTTGTAAAGCCCTCATGGTGATAACAATAAAACAGTGTGTGTCCCGGGAGCACTCAAGATAGTTATTAGTAATAAACTTGTGCAAACAATTCTCTAAATATAATTTTAGCGACACTTGCATGGCATATGCTGGTAACACGAGTGTTCTTTTTACTGAGACATGGAATTATTTCTATATGTCATCTGTTTCTTTGATCTGTTATAAATATATTTTTTACTGCTTGCTTAGAAGCCGCTAGACGCCGAGATCATCGAAATTGGCGCCCTTATGACTCGGAAGCTCAAAGTTTCCAGAGTTTTTTATTTAATGATAAAAGGGGACAGAGACTTGGGGTTCACTTGATGGGAAAAAAGACCCTAGCCATATAACATCTACACAAGGTGCGCTGTCGTCCTATTTTGCCTTTGGATATTCGTCCATCCACAGACTGTAACCGAAACGCGATAAAACTTCGCGGCTTTTACAAGTGTGGACGGTGGTTCCTGACCAGGGCGGAATTTCGATATTTCTACCACCCAATTCACATCCAGATTTCCAGACGAACAAGATGTTTTAGAAAAATTATAAAATTGAAAAATTAGAACACGTTAGACCCGGTGTTTTGTTTTGTTTGTTTGTTAAAAACGTCGTAAGCGAATAAAAGGTATTTACCATTCGCGGTGCTGCGTCGCTATGCTACAAGTGCGCGGGCGGCGGGGAGTGCCTCGCAGCGTGCGGTACAGGTACCCAGTGAGGCGCGTAGTCGGGAGTGATGACACAGCGAGGCAGCCTGTAGGACATCCGTGCTCGTTTTCGTGCTTCCAGTTCCAGCAGTGAACACAGGGATCTCTCGTATAGCTGCCACTGTCTGCACACCCACTTTCCTGGAAGAAACTGCATTTTAAAAAGAGAATGCAGCTCTTCTTCTTCTGCTGCTTCATACATACATTTTTATGAATGTCGCTGCTTGAGCTCGTAGCTAAAGAATAAAGTAATTTAATGTTCTTGAAAAAACTAATCAAAGCTGATCTATTAAAATGAAACAATGTTAATAAACTAAAACGTGGTATATTTAAATATAGGTTTATACTATGAAAATATATTATGTACATGAATAATACACGTTTTAATCTGTTAACGTTTCACAGAATATGATTGGCTGAACAATACATTCGCAAAAGACACTAACAATAAAACAATTTCTAAATAAAAGAGACGTTGTTAACTATGTCATTTTATGCACAATTTTTTTATAAACGCTGAAGAACTTAGGCTGTAGTGAGGTAAAGAATTGTAATAGATAATAATATTATTAATAGACATTGTAAGGTCGATGCTATTTTCATATATGTTCAATGTTTTATTGAATTGATAATACGCTTAAGAAAACGTAGTTTTTTAATACTACAAAAGGTTAAAATACATACTAATATATAGCCGAAGAGTTTGTTTGTTCGTTATATTAAAAACTTATTAATGTTTGAACGCGCTAATCTCAGGAATTACTGGTTCGAATTGTTAAATTTTTTTTTGTGTTGCTTAGAGCATTTACCGAGGTTGGTTACAGGCTATCGCGCTGTGACTAATATTGGCAAAGAAGGGAAATGTAGAGAAAACGGAAAACATTATTCATCTTCGTGGGATTCCGTTGCGCACGCTGTGAAAACGGTTCCAGGTGTCCAAAAATATGTACGAAGGAATCATTTCGCTTTAAACAATGCCCAGGACACTATATCTCTATATTTTACGATTAACTGGCAAGAACGTAATGAAGAGGTTAGCAAAAATAAATTTTGATGACAAAAATTCTATGCGGATGAACTGGCTGACACAGACAGAAGCTTGCTGAATTGTATTTCTACTATTTAATTCCTGGTTGTTCAGTTTTAAAATTGGCCGAAAACCTTAAGCATATTTTGACGCAATGATGCCCCGAAATATTGTTCAAGGCGTTAAAAACACTTATGGAAGGAGGTTTTTTATTATACTAAAAAATACTTCAAATTACTTGTTTGGCATGCGTTATATACAATACGCGATTAGCAATTCAAACAGCCGGGTACAGAGATGAATTTTCTTTAACACAAACAATGTTTCCCTTCGGAAAATTTATCAATCCTACAGGGTAACGCAACATAGTAAGCGTGCATTTATTAACGAAATTACAGTATCAACAAACGTGAGTATTTAATGCCCAGTGGCAAAATGTAATCGAAACATAATGACATAAATGCCAAGGCGCGTCGTACACTAAACACAAACTACATACAACTTCGTTTATAATAAATATACATTTCACTGCCGCCCTAAGCACATGTCTTGGGAGTCTAATATAAGATTATAAAGGGTCTACTTAATTAAATGACTATATCGTTATTTCTAGTTTTTACACGCCGAAGTTATGGTGAAAAAAAAAGAAGTTGCTTTTTATTAGAGAATTATAGAAATAAATGTTAAAACCTAGATTTGTAACAAACAATTGAGACTATTTAAACCAGGGCTGCTGTGAAGCAACAAAAACGTCGGGTCATAGTTAGGATTTAAAAAAAAATATTTTAACCGTTCAAAGGGTTTTATTTAATAAAATGCAGTTCACACTGACGGGATGTTATGTGAATGTTTCTAAAAAAAAATACTCTTATTTAAGTAAAACAGTTTTAACTGTTTAAACCGTTATATTAAAAACTTATTAATAGTCCTCCCGTGGCCACGAAGCATCCGAAACGTCGGGCCGTAGTTAAAAGAAATTGTAAACAAGGTAAGTAATATATTTAGCACTTTAACCGTTAAAAGTATTTTATCTAAATGTGACTCGCGTAAACTACAGACCATGCTCTATTCAGTTCGTAGTATATGTTATACTATAAGCAGCTAAATCGAGTTTACTTGAATTAAACACATAAAACAAAAGCGCTTCTTAGCTCCAGTGTGCGGCGAGCCTTCCCGCATAAATAAATCTTACTTTGTAGCGATACAACCGTGAATCTGTTTGTATTTTCTCCTCATAACTCAGAGGTACAATCAGCTCCGCTCGCACGTAGCGCGATTACACTAAACACCCCTAATGAAAGCCCATGCAGGCATCTAATAAGATGATGGGTCATAATTCAAAATCGTGCTTCAGACCCGAATCGTAATGAAAGGGCTGTGACGGCTGCATGAATTATATCCGAGATCAGGTGTCAATTTACGAGCTGAGTGCGCGCTGCGATTTATTCGCGAAGGAAGGATGTACACGAATTTCCGATTGGCGCTAAAAAATACGAGGGCATGTTTAATTTCACTTCGAATCAGGTATCATTTCTTTCATCGTTGCTACATAATATACTATAAAGTTTAAACTACAGTAGTTTACTGTGTTTTAGATCGGGCCGTAGTTAAATTAATTTGTAAAGTTTAAGTTGTTAACAGTTGAAACTGTTTATCGGAAGTGAAGAATATTGTAAACGAAACCCCAAGACAAGGGTTTATTTGCATATCATTGTCTTTCGGGCTGTTCGGCCGATGTGAGCGAGAAGAGGTTCTCGACGTTTCGCCATCACGTGTGGACGGCATCATCAGGAGATGTTGACTCCTCGATTGCTCGAAGAATTATCAATTCTTCGTCAATACTTGCAGAGAGAACTATATACATTTTAAATGAATAAATAGTAGATATTAATAATTATCAATTCATTAATAATCTATAAAAAATATATAAATAGCAGAAATGCGGATCTAAATATGTATTGTGTAACTAATTTTGTTTTGGCTTATTCACATAACCAACATATCTTATATGAAATGACCCTTATCATCTTCTAAATCCATATTCAATTGTTTTATAGACATTATTTTCAGAGATCTTATAAATTGGTCACTTATACACATAGATAACATGACTCGTGGTATGTATAACTTGGCAATTGAATGTTTAATCTACACTAATATATAAAGGTAAAGGTTTTGTTTGTTTGGACGCGCTAATCTCAGGAACTACTGGTTTGAATTTAAAAAATCTTTTTGTGATGGTTAGAGCATTTTTTGAAGAAGGGGATAAGGGGATCCTCGGGGTTTTCGTTGCGTACGCTGCGAGAACAGTTTGAGATACCAAAAAAAAAAATGTATGAAAGAATGAAAGAAAGAAAGAATATTGTCTATAGTTTACGCGAGTAGTACACATTTAAATAAAACACTTTAACGGTTTAAAACGCGATATATTAGTAAAACTTATTTGGAAATGATTTTTAACTTCGGCTCGACGTTTCGGATGCTTTGCAGCAGCCGTGGTCACGGGGAGGCTAAAGATGGTGGATGTCTCTGACGTCAAAGTAAAAAATTGCTACGCTAGCGCCATCTGTTCCGTCGAAGTTGGTATTTGGCGAAACTGGCCGGGTCCTTGCAGAATATTTATTAACCTGCAAGAACGACCGGACGCGGACAACGTCGTATGTTATAGCCACGATTTATGTTGAGGAGTTTTTCAAAAACAAATTTTATTCTAAGCGAAGCCGTTGACTCAGCTAGTATTTTATAAATTGGATTGCACACATGGACATGTCGTAAGACTCCTCACAATTATTATTACTTTGTGTAATTTATTGTGAATTTTCGCTGCATATTATCGAAGCGTTGTAGGCGAACGGTGGAATTGGTTGAAACATTTTCTTTCTCGATAAAATAAATATTGGTCTTAGAAATACATTTTTATATCCTACATAGTACATTGTTATTAAGATACTGGCAATTTTTTTATAACTTTTGCCTTGTACTGTGTTAAAATCGAAGCTAGATGTCCAAATTTTAAATACCGGCGAAACATAATAGATCAGAATTTATATCAACTCCTTTTCTGTAAAAATAAGTTAAACAAACCTATGGCGCACGTAGGGAAAATGAGACTGAATGAATTTTTTTGCGTGACTATTTTTTAATGATATCCAAAAGCCAAAATATCATATATCATATATAATCATTATTAATATTGAAAAAAATCTAACATTTCAAACTATTTTATTTTTAAAACCCTATTTCAAATAATCTAATTCATGAAAATGACTACCACTATTCTATTCTAGATCAACTCTTTTCCAGACATTTTGCAAAATGGCAATATGTTTTACTACAACACACGCAAGGCAAACACGATTGCCAATTACATCAATACTACTTTTTATGACTCCCTTCCTCATAATATGTTGATTATTCGAGTTCAAACACTATTTATACGGAAGTATGGTACTTTGATTGGAGTAAAGTGTTGATATGATCGGTAGCGTGAACGCAGAATCACGATTTATCACATTATTAAAAGAATACCCCGTGTTACATTTAGTTATAGTTAACTAGTGCTTCTTTCTTGGAGCGCATGATGCGTTGTCAGTTGTATTAAGCCCACCGACCCGCGCTGGATCAGCGTAGTGGGTGTAAATTTTAAAAGGAAAGTGTTTTGAAGAAGATATTTCAGTAAACATATGCAATAAACTAATCTTTAAGTGGGTTTGTTTTCGATGCGAACATATTTCTCGTTTAAAAGTGTTTGATAGATTTGGATCGCTTTAGCAAGTAAGAAATAGTATCAAAATAAAGGATATTTTTTGAAATCATACTTTTTATTGAAATGGTAATTTCAGCGTTACGTAACGCATTATGGTTAGTCTGACTAACAAAAGTTATGGCAACTGTCAGGCTCAAATCGCACACTTATTGACTTTGCTGCGTATTATGTCTTTCTGAACAATTTACAAACGACACGAGCGGGATTTGAATCCGCATCTACAGCGTGCTGCTGCTCTAAGCAATTGGTTTATTTGGCATCTCAATTGAGCTAGATTTGGTTAGGTTAAATTTTTTTGATGACTCAAAAAAAATCATCAAAAAAAAATTTAAAATCCATCATGAGAATAATATCAGTTTTCATAACTTAAAAAAAACACTTTAACGGTTTCAAACGCCATATATT